GGGGGGGGGGGGGGGGGGGGGAACCCTTCACCCCAGCGCAGAGCCCGGGGCCGGCCGCGCACCTGGTCGAAGAGGTAGACGGTGACGTCGTCGAAGAAGGACACGGCTTTCTTCTTACGCTCCAGGTCCTCGCAGAAGGCCTCCGACAACAGGCTGGGTATCTTGAGCAGACTGCGCAGGTTGCGCGCGCTCTGGCTCTCGGCCACCACCACGGGCACGGGAGGCGCCTCCTCCTCGCTCTCCTCGCTGGGCTCCTGGATGCTGTAGCAGCGGAGCTCTTCATCCGACTCATCGCTCTCCTCGCTGTCCTCCTCTTCCTCCTCCGACCGGCCCTCCGGGGCTGCGGGCAGTCCCGGCAGGGCCAGGCAGAGTGGGGTCCTGGGGGCACCCGGGCTACCTGTCCGTTCCCGCTGGGCAGGTCCGGACGGCAGTACTGGGGCCTCCTGGAGCTCAGGGAGGTGGCTCTCTGAGCTCAGCGGGACTGGGGTCAGCAGGAAAATCTTGGAACCCCCGGGGCTGGGCACTGGAGGCCCTTGGGCAGGGCCCTGGGGCCAGGGAGGGTCCGGTCTGGGGCCCTCTGGGCATGTACTTGGCCCTGGAGAAAAGTCCTCAGGCAGCAGGGGCAGCACCTCTCTGGGACCAGTGCCTCGCGTCCCCCCAGCCACACCAGACTCAGGGGAGGGCTGTGCGGCCTGCAGCCCAGAGCTCTCCAGGTCCAGCTCTAGCCTGGAAGTCAAGTCACCTCCTCCCTTCTCCTGGGGGCCCGAAGTGCAGTCAGGCTCTGTATCCAGGTCCGAAAAGTAGGCTGAGTCACGGTAGGGGTTCTTCTGGCCAAGGCCACCAAGAGAGGTGGAGAGCTGAGTCTCGGGCCCAGGGCTGTCCTCCTCGGAGACCAGCTCCCCACAGGCCTCAGGCTCACATGGCTCGTGTGCCTCCTTGAGCACAAACTCAGGGGACTCGTAGTTCTCTGTGTCATAGCCACTGTCCAGGGCTCGGGGCTGCCCGCCGGGAGTGCCGATACCTGATGGGCTGAAGACCTCGCAGCCACCACCGTCACCGGCTGAAGGTGGGATATCCAGGGAGTCCCCAGAGTCGGGGGTCCCCGCCTGCTTCTGCAAAGAGCGGAAGGCCAGAGTCACGTCTGGCTTCTCGGCCAGTGGGCCATCGCTGGACAAATCAGCGAAGACACCAGAAGTGGCCTCTGTCATGTCCTCATCCTCACTGACGGGCGCCCCCGGCTCAGGGGAAACCCTGTAGCTGTCTGGGGTCTGGGCTGCCTCAGTGGCAGTCTCCCAGCTGCCAGCAGGCGTGGGCAAGGCGGGCAGGGTGTCAAGGGCACTGGCCGCCTCGGCAGGAAGCAGGGCTCCCTCTTGGGATGGGGCTGGGACAGAGGGAAGGGGTAGCTGAGGTCTGGCAGAGCCCTCAGCTTCCTCAGCAAGCCTGGGCTCTGTCTGGGGGCTGTTAGCCTGGCTAATGGCTGCCTCTGTCCGGGAGGATGTCACCAGGCAGATGGCCGGTGCCAGGCCCTCAGCAGGACACAGATGAGGAAGGCCAAAGCAGCGGCCTAGCTCCTGGCCAGAGGAGGCCCCCTTTGACCCAAGGAGAGGCTCTGTGGGGTCCTCTAGGGCCAGGGGACCGCCTAGCTCCGGGGCAGCCCGTAAAGTGTGCTCTGGGCCAGGGCAGCAGTCCATGCAGCCAGCCATGTGTCCCAGGTCCCAGGAGCCTGGTGCTCGGCTGCCACTGTTGTTGTTGGCGGACACGTTGGAGCTCCAGTGTCTGGGCTGGGCGGCCCTGCAGGCCTCGGTGGCCCCCATCTCCTCCCCGCCCGAGGGGGACGTGCCCACTGGGTCCTCCAAGAAGGGTGGGCAGAAGGCAGCCGTGCCCCAGTCGGCGTCCTCCTCCCTGGGCTCCGCCAGCACGAGGGTCCCGGGTGAAGGCGAGCTCAGAGGACAGGACGGTTCTCGGGCACAGCTCCCATGCAGGTAGTCACAGCGGCCCCAGGACCCCTCGGGGGGTGGCACATGGCCCAGCAGGGGCTCCATGGCCAGCGAGGTGGCCGCGCTGCCCTCCGAGTCATCGTCCTGGTCACCACCATCGGGGAGCAGGTCCACGGCATGGGGGCTGAGGGTGCAGCCGGCGCAGTCAGGGTCGTGGCCGGCGGCGGGCGTCGGCTCCTCCAGCCGGATGAAGTACTCGCTGCCCACCGAGGGGCTGTGCGCGCTGAGCACAGGCACCACGCCCGGGGGCGCACCGTCAGCGGCACACAGCTCCTGCAGGCAAGCGGTGCGGCTAGGGCTCGCTGCAGCCCCGGGGGGTGGGAAGGCCTCGGCGCCGCGGCCCGCTTCCCACTTGTACTCGAAGTTGAGGCCGCGACTCGTCTCGGTCACCGTCAGCACGTCGTCCCCGTCCGCGTGGAAGCCGTCGCCTGCGAACTGCTCCAGCAGCGGGAAGGACGAGGCGGAGGCCAGCTCGCCCGCGCCCCCCAGAGCCAGGCCTGCCAGCCCAGGGCCTGCGCCACCCCCGCCCGGCCGCAGCGAGCGCCAGCGCCGCTCAAATTCTTCCTCCGCCTCAGTGGCGCCCTTGGCACAGAGGTAGGACAGCAGCAGGTGCACCTCCTCGGCCGTGGGCCGCTGTTCAGGCTGCAGCCAGCAGAACTGCATCACCTCGTACCTGCGGGCAGGGAGGCCTGGGCTCAGCCCCTGCCCAGGGGTCCCTGCCCACCCCGCACCCGGGGCACCGCCCTGCCAGGACCCCACTTCCTGCAGAAGAGCAGACCGGCCCTCCGCACGGTCTGGGGGCCTCTCCTCATACTCAGAGTTCTCCAAGGACATTGAAGAGAACTTCCAAGTTCATTACAGGAGCCCCAGCTCTCCCAAGGTGGGCCCAGAGGTTTGGGGGCCGAAGCACTTTTCTGTGAGTGCACCCCCCCCCCCCCCC